CCACACCGTATCAAATATCGATGAGCTTTTGTAATACCTAGTACAAAACTCATTTTGTCGTCTTCAGTTTCAAAAGAAGCATCACTATCGAGCGTCATGTTATTTGAAACAAAAAGCTTTAGATATGAATGATTAAAGTCATGCGGAAAGACATCAAATCGCATCAAACAGAATTCGTGTGAATAGTATAACACTACTATGATAGACACTTTATATTAATCATGAATCTATCTGAACTCTTTAATTCAAGTGCTCGCGACTAGCCGGTTCTCATTCTGACAGAAAAAGAAGATGAATAGCATTGATGACAAATGTAATGAGTGTCATGCACCTCATGGCACTTTTCATTTGTTTAAAATTTTTTTTCTCCCTCGTTTTCTAGATATGGGAATTGTTTGCTTCGAAATGCCGAGATCAACAAGAAATCAATATGAACTTTTTTCAAAAAAAAAACACAATCGAATATTCAAAATGCAATCATTTGTATATTCATATGTTGATAACTTTTGTTTACAGAAAAAGATCCCTCTTCATGTCACTTTCCGTAATGTCTATGCCTGTGAACATTTCAACACCATGAGCATGCCTTTACTAACAGCTAACGCAATATTCCTCAAAGGTTTTTGCACAATTGATGACTTGCTATTCTGTAGTATCACTTTTGCTGTCAACTTTTGGAACCTCCAGAAAAATTTTTGTATATCAATCAATAACTCATGAAGGTATCTGCTATCTACGTGCGTGTGATTAGTTTTAATCAAACATTTTGGTCACTGTAAATAAAGACTTTTGATTTCGTATTTGATATTTTCGCTTTGGATTCAGTTTGTCAAGATTCAAATAGATTTTGAAGATACTTCTACATAAGCAGAAAATGTCTATAATAAGAGATCATTTTTCCTGTTAATTTAAAATAAATTTGAACTATCGTAGTTTAATTTATTTTAAATATAAATGATACAAAATTAAAATAAATTAAATTGCATACAACTTTAATAATTTTTCAATTTTAAATGGTAGGACTAGTTTACATGTAGGAGCTACTTCAATTAAGACTATCGATTACATATGTTGAACATTCTCAATAGGAAGTTTCTTCAAAATCACCTTTGGGTTAGAGGTGTTACTTTATTTTTACTTTTCCTTATAAAAAACAATAACATAAATAAAACCTTTATCTTTATAAAATAAAAGTCAAGAAAATATTTATTTTTAAAAAATAGATGTAGATGAAAAAAATTAAATTTTATTTTTTTTTACAAATTAAAGATAATTGATATCTTAATATATAAGTTGAAACTAAAGACTTTTTCTTATTTATATTTATAAAATAAAGGTAAAATAAATAATAAAGAAAATTTTTTCTGTGTGAATATAATCTTTAATTTTTACCAAGTACTTCACAGAAAGTTATGATGCCATAGATGAAAATCAAATACAAGGAAAGTTTTTAGATCTATTTTTTCCATGTATAAGTTTGACTTTTTAATAATATCACATGTCGAAATGATGTTGATGATAAGAAAGAATATTGATTAATATATCCTGCTGTTATACTAGGTATTTGTCTATTTCTTCGTCACAGATAAAGAATCTTTCTTTATTATTTATTTTATGTTTATTTATGAAAATAAACAATTCATGTATCTTTATTTTATAAAGATGAAGAATTTACTTATGTCTATTTCGTAAATATAAAGATTGTATTTATATTTATTTTATAAAGTAAAGATAAAATAACACCTCTACTTCAGGTAATTAAAATGCCTCACGTCCATGTCATTTCGTTTTTTGTTGTTTGCAACTACTTTTGATATTCAATTTTAATTTTATTTCTAGTATAATAATGTTGAAAACTAAATATACTTACATGATAAGTGGTACTGGAGTGTGCAAGTTTTGTTTTGTATGCTTGCAATCAGTTTTGCTTCGTATTTATCGTTGACGAAATTACTTGGTTTTTCCCCCAGCGATGTATGTTTATGTAAATCAATGAAGCATGACATTTTCATCAGGTAGGTAGTTATTTTTCATGATTGCATTCTTCACCATATGTATTTCGTTCTTTCAATGTTTTTTCTCTTTTTTTTGTCTTTCTTCACGTTTCGTGTTGTTACGATGAGAAAATATACACTGATATTTGTGTATTCGAATGCATTACACTTGTATTTCGAAATATATTTCCCATGAGTAAACAAAATAATAGTTAATGAATGATTTTGTTTTAATTTTAATCGATGAAAATATATGTAAAAATGAATAATAGAGTCATCAACATCGTTTTAAAAATATTTGAGACATTTCGTGAGCTCCGTTCACATCATCAGCCAAAGAACAATTTATAAAACCAGTCGGAAAATATCAATAGCAAAAAAAAATTAACACCAAGTCATTGAACCGAAAGAATAACTCATTATATTCGATTTCGTTATAGATATTTAGTAACTGTTGGTATAAGTTGTTTTTTTGAACTGATGATCTGAACGGAGTTTACGAACGGTCTCCTACATGATTACAATGATGTCTATGATTCTATCATTCATTACATTACAGAGTGTGAGAGTGTAGGCAACAGTCTTTTGTTTATGTTACGTCGGATATCTGTCGAACCCAGCAGTTTTTGACAATGTCTGTTACTATCTAAGTGGAAGCAATTTATATTTCATCGTTATGCTCATTTGGTGACAAGACCAAATCTCTTTTAAATGTTTTTGCTTTGTTGACGTCTTTTGGTTCGTGTTAATATTGAAAAATAGATGTTTTACGTTACGCATGCAGCTTGACTTCCTTAAGTTGGATAGATCGTCTTGAATTATATGATAGTCTGAAGTTATAGATCTTTAATCTATATATGTATCTTAAAGTCTTTTTGAAATGTCGATTTCTAGATCGTAGATATGTCGCTATATTCTATCACCTTTAATGAAACATACGACAAAGATATGAGAACAATAAAGAATAATCTACGAAATGAACAAAAAATAAAATAAATAAATATTATTCACTTTTATTCAACAGAACGAATACTCTTGTTTCTATTGATATATATCTCTTATGTGAATCCGGTGACAAATAGAAGTAACTCGTGCACGTCTAAAATTAGTTTATTTATTTTCACTTTCACATATATATAAACATTTCTAATGTGAAAAGAGGATTGATGACATGGACATTTTGAGTATTCTATTACCCTCACTCTAACTAAAGTGATGGTTTCTTATATTTACTTTTTTTTTTATATCGATGAACTATGAAGTTGAACTTGTCTCGAGAGATGTATAGACGAAAGAGTTCATCTTTTCTTTTCTGTAGTAAAAATAAAAAAATAACATCATCATTCAAGTATACGCTGGATGTCTTTACGAATATGGAAGTTTATCGAACGAAAAAAGTTATTGATGACTGCATGATTATATTGGATTTTTTCCTGCAATTGCAGATATCAAAAGCAAGAGAACTTCTATGACGGTTGCCTTTTTTTCTTTCATATTTATATATACATATATTTCAGTGAGTAAAATCAATATGTGGGTAGAATATGTACAGAGATGGATACTGAAAAAAGGCAAGGTTAGTTTTTTTCTTTCTTTTTGCCTGATTGCATCTCATCAAGATCATTTTCTCATTATCTGTCTTCCTGTTTTGCAACGCATCGATTAATGACGGTAGAGAACAAATTGTCAAGAGATGGAAAAAAGATATTCTTGATACTTCTAGGCTTAAAAAAGAGAAAGTTCGTAACTCGATTGCTTGGTTGTTAGTTGATGATACAATGATGATGATGCAGCCGATCTGGTTACATCTCTAAATAAACACAATCGATAGGTTTCATATTTCAATCAGTTTATGCTACTAGCCGAAAACGAAAACGTCTGTAGAGTTGAACCTAAAACGAAGTTCATACTGAGCAGTCTCTACTAAATGGTCAAGATGAACTGAAAAAAAAATTTGACGATTATCCAGAAATCAGCAACAAAAGTCATATGATAGACAATCCATCTATTTTGATTGATTTCTGAAGGAATAATGCGTCAACGTGGTATCGTCAACGATAATTTCTGTTAAATCGAAGAACAGTGCTCAATATGGAATATCGATGTATGAAATGTATTGCCATGTCTAAGCAAAGAACTCTAAATGCGAGATAATATGAGACACCATTAGATATATGTAGAACGTCATCTATTAACATATGCGAAACTACCACAAACATTCATTCTTGGATGAAGAATGATCGGTTTTCTATTGAGAAAATCTTCATATATTATTCGAACTTTAAAGTATTGGAAATTGTCCTAGAGAATAATGTCATTCAGATAGTTAAGTATACCGGGTGTCGGTGTGGATGTTTGCAAAAAGAAGACTCACATCCACCCACACCTTTCGATTGAATCATGCATCATAACGGAAATTTCAATTTAGAACAGGTGTGCAGCACTTTGCAAAATGAATAATTGGGTGTGGGTGTGGGGGTTTAAAAGAAGACAACACTCACACCCTGTCAAGTTCTCTATAAGACCAAATCATTTTTCTAGTTCAAGGTTATCATGCAAAATCAAGATCTAGTTCTTGGTCTATAATAGCCAATTAAGATATTTATTGCCTTTGCTTGTCTTTTTGTAGTGGAGAAAAACTTGACTTTTCATCGCTACGTCATTATCATTTTATGGATGGTTTATGACAACCAGTTTCAATGAAGAAAAGGTTACCGATCACAAAATAGGTCACTATATATCGAACTTTGTCAGAAATTGGTCATAAGATATGGCTAAAAAATGCACTATTTGCGAGCTCTTGAATATGTAAACATGGTGTTCAAAGGTGACTTACATTGAAAACTACTGTCCATTTTTTAGACGGATTTCTGTAGAAAGTAGGTTATATCCTTACCATTAGTTCTAAGAATCATTTGAGATAAAATACAGCAAATGCAATCAAGATGAAAATTTATTTTAGAAACTTTTTTTCAAGTTTAACATAAAAAAAACAATAGGATTAGTTTATTGTATTTCACGATTGCCTGTTAAAAAATCATCCACTTTGTGATCTTTTAATTGTGGTCTAGCTTCATACGTTGTAATGACTACTTTAGATTTTACTTCCTATACATGAAAAAAAACATACAGAATCATATTGAAATATAACATTCACTTACACCAAGATATTCACCACGAAGACCAATATAATAAATACGAGTTGTTTCATCACCGAAATTCGAAGGAAAATATAAAGATAGATGTGTTACACGTGAGAAATGTGATGGACTAAAATAGATATTTGATTAAAAATTTTTTCAAAAAATCAAGATATTTACTTGACTTGATAAGCTAATGTACCCGATGGATCATATGTAAGTGAAATTTCTTGATGAGCTTTTCCATGTGCATTATCAAAACGTAATTCAGGTAAATTACTCCATCTATTCATATATATATATATATAAATCATAACTCCTACTTTATTGAAATAATTTATTCACATACAATTTAACTGTATTTTGACGTGATGGACCATTTTCACCAATAACACATAGGCCAGTTATTTTTACAGCACCATTAAATGGTATACTGAAAAGTAATTCTTGTTCATCATCAGTTTCAACTACCTTTCAAAAAAAAACACGTATTCATAGTATTTTATTTGAATAAATCAAATACAAAATATACTTTTGATCGATCAAGTCGTTCTTTCCATGCTCGAAATACTAGGTGGGTAAAAATATTATTCCAGGGGAGTAACGCTATGATTTCAAATAGCAATCATAACAAATTTTATACCAAATTAAAGCGCGTCAAAAACGGGATTTAGCAGTACTAAATAGTAAGGGATATGGAAACGTTTCTATGTTGAACTGAACCAATTTTTGAAATATAATGGCGATACTCTGTAAATAATGAATCATTTGACCAGAATGGAATTGTTTTTCCTACATATATCCGTCGATTTATCGGTGTTATAAGGATTCAACGTGCTTCAAAGCTGAAACTACGATTATTTTTTTGCTTTCTATTGTCTTTTATCTCTCTGAAATGTGAATAACGATGTATTGGAATTATACTAGAAAAGATAAAACAGTGCACATTTATATTCTTCTAAGTGACTTGCTCGTTTGCACTCATTTTTCGTTTCTGTTCTTTCGCATAGTATTAATGTTATAGAAGAAAAATAATTTTCTTTCTTTTTCCACCCATGTAAATATTTTTTGACTTAAAAACGCGTCTGAAACGCGATTCGTTGCGTTTGAAATTCA